ATTTGATTCTAATCGTGTACCTTTGTTTGTACTTGCACTAAACACTTAATCTATATTCCCCGATTCAGCCGATTTGACGTAAGAGAGTTTATTTAAAAGATAACAGTTACATTTAATTTAAATGGTTCGGATGAAATATATTGATAAGGTTTATCCTCGTTTAAGCTTTATGAAGACAGTTCATTGTTTGTACCATATTGTGTGTCTTTGTATATGTTCCATCTTACTATTGGAGGTTCTATCTCATTTGAATTTCTTTTGAATATAAATTAAATACAGTACTTTAATTAATTTATTATTGCCCACTTGAATTGTATAGCCCTAGGTGTCGCAGTGTTCTTTATGTAGAGCGCCATATATAAATGCTCGATGTGATCATTCGGGTCCGATGGCACCTCCAATTTCAAGCAAGTTTTGCAGAGACTTCTTCGAAGACACTCCTTAGTAAGGTTGCATATGAGAATGAAGAAGATAATTCTGATACTATTAGCAACGTTGATTTATTGCTTAAATTACTGCGACAATAACATTCAGAGGCGAATCTCGAAAGTTTAGATAAAAAGTGTTTATTAACATTTTCATAGGTTTGTTTTAACGCCAGTGTTACCTAGCTATATAACTTAATTCATTCTAATTAAAGAGAGCCACGGATTTGCCAATAACAGGCCCTTAAAATTGTTGCTATAGATCGACTACAATGTACATTAATATTTAATGCATTTAAATCAAATTTAGATCAATCTTAATATTGTGATTTTAAATAGCAGAGGTGGATTTAAGGGGGAGGGGTGGTAAAAATAAAAAAATAAAAAATAAAAATTGATCGCCCAATGCATCAGGTTATTTTCGGGCGTCTAGAAAAGACAAATTTCCTCTAAGATGGTGTTATCTCGATCGGACCCACTTTTGCCCCCCCCCTTTCTCCCCTTTTTCGGCCCCGGCCTTCCCCTTTCGGACATCTCTGGATTTGCCCATGAATTGACATGCATGCCAGCAACTAAAGAACATAGGCTATTTATTTTTAACATTGTTCTGTGTATATCATTTGAATTTCTTCAATTTCAAACGAATGAGCGCTGATTTTCGTATAATAATGTTGTCTCCTAATCGGATTAAAATCTGGCCGAATTTTGGCCGATATCAAAAAAAAGTTTGGCCGAATTTGGCCGTGAGATGGCGTGTGTTTGGCCGTGAAGCCTGTCGACTATCTGGCAACCCTGGTATTGGTATGCTTCCTGTGTGTTTTACCTTGATAAACTGATGGGATTTATTATTTTCTTCTGCGTACTGTCATACACAAATTGACTTTTAAACATGGGTTTTATTTTCTTCTTTTGTCATTTCATATAGATTCAAATCCAGTATACAGTGGTGGCAGATCCAGGGATTTTAAATAGAGAGGGGCTTTCACAGAAGTTTAAAATTTAAAAATTAGTGGGGCCTGAGAACATCCACTCCAGACCCACGATGGTTGTTGAACAACATTTTTGCAACTCCGAATGCCCAGAAATAGATGCTGACAACTTATACGGCTGCTAGCCCTCCCCTCAAGGGGTAGCCATAAATAATGTTAGCATGAAGATAGAGTCTATGTTGAAAATATGGTACCTCTGGATGCCTGGAAATAGAAGCTGGCAAACCTGTATAGCCACCACCCATTCCCATCTGGACACAGAATGTGGTAGCATTGACCAAATTGGAATTCGTAGGACTATTTTAAATCTTGGGAATAAGATCTACTGCAAATATGATATTGTTCAAAAAATTAATTAAGTTGCTCATTTCTCCATGAATAAATAAAGTGCAAGAAACACAAATATAATGCAAGGAATAACAATGACTATAATATAATTATTCTTAAATGACGTGCAGGGTATTGTGAAATATAAACAATATGCAACTAAATAAAACATGTTATGAATACACAGGATACAATATGCTATGAATTATCTTTGGAAATACAGTAGGCCTATGCCTACAGAATAACGTAGAGTTTCGAGAAACATACAGCTGCTACAATACTTAATACCACATTCAGCCTGAGGCATAATAAATTATTTATCACGCTCTATGTGAATTGTACTATCACTTGAACTGTTAAAATGTTTTAATTAAATCCTGTGTTTCCTTCTGGTAGACCTTATAGCAATTACACTCTAGATAATTTTAGTCAATAAATTTATGTCAGACAGGCCATGTAGAGATCTAACAGGTCATACCTATAGAGCACTAACATTCAAGGGCTATCCAGCTTTTTTGTAAAAGTGTGGAGCGGCACAATGTTGTTGAATGTGGCTGGTTTTACAGGGGTGGGTTCAGAGGTCATACTTTGTTTACCTGGATGATCAGAAAAAATATGAAATATTGATGATGATGATGATAATAATAATAATAATGATGAGGGGGTGATGATCCTAGAACCCTCACAATGGGCCCAGAAGGAAACTCCCCTGGGGAGAACTCTCCTGGGGAGAACTCTGACAATTTTGAGATTTGAAAGGCTTTCAATAAGTCTCACACCCTGTAAATTAAATCTTGGTCATCAGTGTTGTACTCAAAATAACAATATAAATGAACCTTTTTTCTTGATCCTTATGGATATCGGTATGCTTCCTGTGTGTTTTACCTTGATAAACTGAGGTTATTTATTATTTTTTTCTGTGTACTGTCATACACAAATTGACTCTTAAACATGGGTTTTATTTTCTTCTTGCGTCATTTCATATAGATTCAAATCCAGTATACAGTAGTGGCAGATCCAGGAATTTTAAATAGAGAGGGGCTTTCACAGATGGTGGATGGAGACCATTCATTCTGCTATATCTGTCATAGCACTGAAATCTAGAACAATATACAACTTTTATTGTTTTAATTACATTTATTAGGCCTACTTCATTATAAATGTATTGTTTCCTTAACCTGCGAATTCTTGTTACAATTTAGTTTAATTTATAGATTAACTTAAATCAAAGAATATTTCCTCATTGTATGACTACATGCTAAAAAGGGGGTAAATTTCACATTTTTGGTTAATGTCCGCTCCTCCTTAATAAGGATTCCGATACCCTATTCAGGGGACATCCCTATTAAAGGGACAGTGCTTTGTTTAGTCTCGAAGGTATCCCCTTAATAGGGGTTCTACTGTAATTCCATTTATCATGCAAATATCAACAATGAGATATTGTCAAAAGGTGAGTGTGTTCTCGGAAACTGGGATGCACATTCCTGCTTTCTCAGGAGTTAATAACGATGGTAATTATGAGAATGATGATGACATACAGTAGGCGGTGGAATAGTTTTGTAAGTGATGGAAGGACTAATGGCATCAAAATAGGCCCATCGTAAATGAGACCAGAACATGAGCGACAATCTTTTTTGAAAGGTGGAGAAGGGGGGGGGGGCATTTGTGAGTTCACACCCATCTGAGCACCACCATGGTAAGGGTGCGAAAATTTTAAGAAATAGGACCTATGGATGGCTGGAAATAACATTCTGATATATATCCCTCATCATCACACCACATTATAGATAGTCAAAATGAAGCTTTAAGACTTGATGTTGTGGTAGAGTAATTTGGATTGGGTCGGGACCTTCCAATGGAAAGTTTTTGTTTTTATAGATGCTTGGTTTTCTGCCTCTGGTCACTGTGATGGGGTAGGCCTAATAGATATTCAATGAGTGAGGATTTTTGATTAGTCAAAATGCATAGCATACAGTATATGCTATAGTAGATGCTAAAGGGGTCTACTGTAAATTATGCCAGAGATAGCATAATTATGCAAGGTCTGGTCACTATGATCCAAGTTTTTGTGAAGCCACTCTGCTGGTATCACTAGGCTAGTTAGTAGACCAATATAAAGCAACCCTGTAAAAACCTGTGTATCTTTTAGAATCAGCGATTCATCGTCGATTCACATGTTCCATTCATCATCGATCGTCGATTTACTTGTTCATCATCGACGTTCACTTATTCATCCTCGACGATTCACTGTTTCATCATCAAAGATTCACTTGTTTTATCATCAACGATTGACTTGTTTCATCATCTACGATTTATTTGTTTCATCATCATCAACGATTTACTTTTTTCAACGATTTACTTGTTTTTTTCAGTCATTATCGACGATTCACTTGGTTCATCATCGACGGTTCACTAGTTATCATTGAATTGCTGCTTGAACGGCGTTCCAAACTAGAGAGAGGTTTTTTAGTCCTCCTAGCCTAGGCTACACAAGCATTAAACTAGGGCCTGCAGGCTAGCTAGTGTCTGGCTGAACTCTGGTGCCATTGCCGTGCCCTGCATAGGCCTAGGGCCTACACTGACAGTGCTAGCCTAGGTCTAACTTATTGCTAGCACGCGATAAATGAGACGGTAAATGATAATAGCATGCTTGCCTACATTATAATCATCGTGCAGCAGAATATCAAATTAGAAGTTAAGAGTTTTTGTGTTATTTACCTTGCCAAAGTCAAACACAACAAATAAACCCCCGAGTAGTCTTGTTGGCTGGATTACAAACAAAACATTATAAATTTACAGGTCTAGAGGGCGCTGTGAATAAGCGTCGTTCGAAAAATAAGTAAACAATTTAGACTGAGTGAGACCATGGGCACGTGTAGCGCGGTGTTTTTGTAAGTGATAGTTTCCATCAAAGAAGGGTAACAGTCAAAACGGCAAGCCTAGGCCGTAGGTCTAGTCTACCCTACCTCACCTGTGTTAGGCCTAGTAGTAGCCAAAGCAACGTGAGGGCAGTGTATGATCAAGAAATACGAATGACACGGTCGGTAGGCCTATGTAAAGTCTAAAGAGCTTCGCCCTCACTTTAGCCTAGGCCTATAATAATTAACAAAGTTCGACTAGGCCTACATGGGTTATTCAATGCCCAAGAGATTGTTTGCATGCTTATAATACAGTAATCAATTTATTGGTGCTGAAGTTGATCTGTGTTTGATCACCTTTGATTTAAATTTAAATACCCATATTTTTAATTTGATACATACAGTATTAGTTTTCTGCCACCTCTTATAAAAAAAAAACCATGAATACATTAAATTTAGACTTAGCACACGGACTGGATATGGGTACCCAGCAAAATTTACGCCACCATGAAGGAGTATTATGACCTGAAGAAGAGTGGGTGAAACTTAGAAATACTGGGTTGGTGTCCGGCGGGGGGATAGATTCACTGGTAGTTAAGATATTATGTTTTTGTTGTTTTCTTTAACTCATTTTGTTTTCAATAATTTTTTCTTTTCTAATTATGTTTGGCCTTGCACAGCCTTGATGAAAAACACCCATGGGTGATTTAAGTGTCTCCATTTTTAAGTATAGTATATTATTATTATTATTATAACAGCATTTATGCTTTACAACAGTCCAAGTATACAAATGCTAAAGGTTTTAACCAGAATTTGTAAATTTTAAAAGCAAATTACATAATACTCTGTTGGAAGTACCCAACATCAACCCTCATTTAGTTGCTGAAGAATTTAAATGTAATCGTTGGTGTTTGAATATGTTAAATTTTAACATGATAGAATTATCCTTCAAAGAATAAAATAATGATGAACAATAGTTTTGTGTGAAGAACAAAATCCATAATAGAATATAAAATTAGTATAAACAAGTTTGTATTCTTATTTTTTTTTAGAAAGTGTTACAGAAAATGCTACAGAAAGTACATCCACATCAAAGAATGTGGCTGGAATTGTGTCAACGTGGGAGTATATCAAGGATTTTGTATTTAATTCTGATTTGAACTGGTGCAATGTCGAATGTTACTCTAACGTCTCCGAAGAATCCAAGCTGTGTTTTTCTGCAAACATCAGTGAAAATAATTGTAACATTTCAGCAGTACGAAGCAATTCAAATTTTACCGAACTTAATTGCCTTGATTTTTTCTGTCCTGGTGAGTGCTATTAGTTAGTGAGATGTTGATTATACCATGGAGGTATTATTGAGAAGGAGATCACTTGGCAACAGTTCCCTTTGACGCGACAAACCCATGTGTTCCCCGCTTTTGCATCGCGTGCGGGCGTATTACCCTATAATTCACACTTTTTCGTTAGCAACAACTTGGCAACGACATGCATTATACGCTTTCAGCAGAGCAGTTGTGCAATAAAGCATTTGATTTCAACCCATTAAATATCTTTATAATGAACAGTGTTCCC